AGATGATAATAAATCCAACTTTGAGAACGACGGAGAAGAGGGTATCCGTCGGAATGAAGTAGGTGAATCCAGTGCTGGCAGTATCTCAGCCCCAAACAATCCATTGCAAATATTTGTGTTAGCTAGTGTGGCATTGGCACTTAGAGCTGCCCCAGACAGGCAAGAGAAGGAACTGTTGGCTCTTCGAAGTTTACTTCCAGGACGCACGTCAATACCATCTGATTCCTCACCAGAATCATCTGTGCTGTTATTACAGTGATATCCGAAACTTATTTTGATTTGCCCTCCTGAATCAGCTATTGATTGTCCACCCATCATTTGTGCCTAGAAACAAGTCAACAATCTCCATCAGTTGCTACACTGACAATACTATGCTAGAATTATTGCAAAAACGGTTTTTATTTGATGTGAATGTGTATGTCAAGAATCTTCATGATATCATTACTAGACACTCTCAACTACTTTTAAATTTAAATTATTAGACAAATGATTGCACCCTGGATGGACAAAGCAGCTGGTCAACAAAAAAAAACTCCAGTTTTTCTTATCCTTACTGAGGAGAGAATTCAGATAATTTCTCATGAAGTAGAAATTAATCAGGTAGAAATAATACATCAACAAGTGTTTTGAAATAAAAAGATCGAAAGGGCAATATAACAAGTAAAATAACCCCGCTTGGCTTATCCTTAATGGGGTGATGGAAAAATTCTCAACTAAAATGGCTAGAAGAAGTTTTCAAACAACACAATTTTGCAGAACTATTCATGATAATACAGTCATACCCCTACCTTGGCAGGTAGAGAGGTTGTTTCCGATATACCCTCGGCTCAAGGAAAGCAAAAATACAACATCTATGAAGACATAAGCAGAAATAACAACATGATAGTAAGAAAATAGAGCCATAAGAGATAACAAGTAGTAATAGAAAACTATGAATGAGAAATACGGAAAAAGTAAAATAATAAAAATATCAAAAATAATACTAATACTGCTAGTAGGAGAGACAAGACGAGAAACTATTTACTACTAATCTTCGACCCGAATACTCAACCTCAACACCCTCCTCAATCAAACTAAAAATGTGAAAGCCTATAGAAACAAACATGCATCACTACAACTTTTAAATCCATCCAAATAGCCATCATGCTCTTTTCTATAGGAAAGGGAGGATTGGTGAAATCCTATTGCTTGCAGCTTTCTCTAGACCTCTGTTATATATTTGGTTAAGAGTTAGGAACTAAGATGGCTTATTGGGATATATGAAATTGAATAGAAAATGGATTCATATAGCCAAGTCATCCCACATACTGAGAATTAAGAGCTTCTATATTGAGAATTGAGATAGCCGTCGTCTAAGACTAAAGAAAACAATTTCATTCACTCTCTTCATCTTCTCCTTTTTTTCTCCGAGGTGTCCGGACCAGCTGGCCCGCACCTCAACTAATTCCACAAAGTACCTACTACCTCCCGCCAGCACAACAACAAATGAATTTTTTTTACAGATTTTAATAGGCAAATACTAGGTTCTTTGTCATAAATTGTGCACAACCTTCAGTTGTTTCGACATCTTTAGCTCATGGACCAGCATATCACTAAAAGAGCAACTGTACCATTACTAATAAGCAAAATACTAAATGTCATAAAGAAAACAATTCTTTTTTAGAGAAATTCATCATTTTCAAGATTATATATCCAATATACTATTAACAATCCAAAATCTCCTATATGAAAGTAAACTCTTGTCCACACCTCGACTAATTACACAGGTACCTACTACATCCCCCCATCTAAGAGGCTGTTTTAGCGTCTTGACCTCAGTAAACCAACATATCATTAAAGGAGCAACTCCACCATTCCAACAAGACATGCCCACACTAAGAAGCAAAACACTAAACGCCATAAAAAGCAAATCTTTTTCAGAGAATTTCACCATTTTCAAGATAATACATCCCAAGATACTATGAACAATCCAAAATCAATTCATCCCACAAATCTAATCTCTCATGAATCACAAAACAAGCAAATTTACACCTAACCCCGTTAACTCAAAAACAGAAAAGAACTGATAAATTAACCAAAACCAGTATAAAATTGAAACTAAAAACTAACCTTTTTCTTGAATCCTCAATGCTAAAAGCCTAAAACCCAGATAAGAGAAACACCCAGAAGCTGAAATGGAACAATCAGAAGAGAAAAGAAGTTTCTGATAATTTGGATGGTGAAGAAGCGTTTATTAAATGGAAAAGAAAAAAACAAAAATGGGGCGGCTCGATTGGAGAAAATTTCTATGGATGACGTTTATGGAGAGGGAAAAAAAAGTCAAAATTCTGTATATGAGAGATTCACTTCACTTCACTTCATCAATGGTGGTAATTTTGTTACAGTAGTTTGATTGTGATTGATGAAAAAAAGGAGAAGAAGAAAAAAGTGCGGCTTTTTTTGTAGAGTTTCTCTACTTTTGGACTCCTCTTTTTTTTTTTGGAGATTTAAAATGCCCTTTAGTCCGTGTCGAATATTTCAAAAGTAGTATTATATCTCGAAAAATACTTCGAAGGAAGCTTCGAGTTCGTATGTATTAGTTATGCATTGATATTTAGAATTGAATTCTATGAGATCGATTTTCATGTAGTTCCTTGTTGTTGATGGGTTCTAGGTTCAAATAGGGGCAGAATGAGGTAGTGGTAACTCAGGTGGTTAGTCTAAATTCTCTTTGACGAAAAATTACTATGTATATATAAAATTAAAACTTTTTTTTTTATGTATATATCGTAAATGTTGAATTTCTAGACTTATTTGTGTGTTTACTTCTTTATTTTTTTTAGTGGAAATTTTGGCTTAGCCACTATATTCGAATTTTACTTAGGAAGATTTGATTGATTTTGCTTTTTTAGTTCAGAATAAAGGGTCTTGATTAGGTCGTTAAGAGTAGATAATTCATTTCTCTCGTGTTTGTTTCTATTATATTCTACCTTATCTTATCACATTTTATTTTGTAAGATTAAATAATCACTATCAATAACTCAAGACTCCACTATCTCTAATTATCTAAATTGTTTCTCTTTTACACTCTTCTTAAGAAAATATTTAATTGGGAACCGTTTGTGAGATTAGATAATCATCATTTGTATCTTAATCTAAGACCAGTCTATCTTAAAATTATCTATCTTATTTCTCTTTTACACGCTCATTACATAAATATTTAATTAAAAGGATTTTTCAACTATTTTACCGTTTGTGCTTAAAACTTAGTAAGAATTCATATCAAGAAAGAATAATAAATAATTTTTTATATTAAATTAAATTAAATTACATGTATATTTTCCTATTCATACCACTATTAATAATCAGATTTCTATGCCCCACAAAAATTATGGAGAAAAGATTTTATGCCTCTACCTCCACCCATCCTTCTCAACACCTTTTAGAAGATTTAAGATATTTATAACTTTCTATTTCCACCTTTTGTTTTTTCCTTTTAAAAAAATAAAATAAAAATACAACTATATTTATATTAGAACCCAACAAAATTTGGCAAGCCAGAAAATCCTATATTAAAGATAAAACACTCCTAATAAAGGTAACTCGAGACCTTTAATAAAAAATAAATGAGTATTTTTCGATTTACCATGACTCACATAGGTCAATTAAGATAAAAATACATTTTGAGACATGTAACTCTATATTTTCTCCAAGACATAAATATTCAAATAATTATATCATAAATCAACAAATAAACAATTCGGTCTCAACGAATTTTTAAGTTTCAACTTCAAAATTCATTATCAAACGAAAGCTTACCGTCCAGGTGGAAGTGAGGGGAAGGAACCATGTTGGGCTAATTGTTGTAGTACAGGCCCATCAATTCATTCCAAGTCTTGGCCCAATGTCTCATGTGTTAATCAGCCCATTTAAGCTACCAACATATGCAATGATTTTTCGTTGTTAATATTTCGATTATCGTATTATAAGTTTAAGTGATATTTTATATTTAATTAGAGCTAGTTTTGGGTTGAATAGGAATAAATTAAGTCGAGGTACCATGGATGTAATGGATGCGATATCATGAATGAATAAATTATTTCGAACAGAACGAAATAAATTAATTTAACATATCATAGATGAAATAAATAAATTATCAAACTAAGCTTATAAAAAGTAGGAAACTTAGAAACCAATAACATAAAGTTAAATAAAGATGCTAAAGTAAGATACATCCATTGGACACCAAATCATCATAAATCTCGTCTAAATATATTGTGTAGGTACCACATTGTGTTTACTGTTTTAGCATGTGTTTTTGTTCCAAAAACAATAATGTCATAATATTGTCTCATGACTTATGAATTTAGAAAAAAATTCTTCGTACGAAGTGTTTCTTCTTTAACGGTCTTACATAACGTGAATTCAAATTAAATGAGGCTGCGATATGGATATTGAATAAATCCTTCTTCAATCCAAGGTTCACACCCTTTTCTTTCATCAATTTAATGTTGTCGATGTTCACATCAAACGACATTAATTAATTTGTCAAGGTTATACGATAAATTAAAGTGATAGTATACGTGTATATACCATACACGTGGCATGCTATTATTGATTTGGTGTAACACCCGACATAAGTAAGTTTTTTCCCTTCACATAGTGCAAGTGCAAACATTGGTTATAACGCGTGCATGTCTGTATGGCATGTTGAAAAGAGTAGTGGTGTTTTACATAGACTGACTTAAAATTCGTAAAATTCGCCTCTCAATATAGTGAAATTTCAATTTGAAGAGATAACAAAACCCTTTAACAAGCAATACTTTTCTTGTTTTTTTTTTCTTTTAATTTCCAAGAATATTTAGAAGAAATTCTTATATTGTCAAATAAGTAAGGCATTTAGTCCCTCAAAACAACATTGTCTTTAAAATCCAAAGCAATTTCCAAATTATGTTCATTGCATACAAAATTCTTGTCAAGTCTCTCATTATTTCCCCCTTTTGATCAAAAAAATAAAAGCAATGGCTAATAATGAGATCAAGAACATGATCTCTGATCTAACGAAACGCCTAGGCAGCCTTAAAAATGTTCGTAATAAGGCTGCACTAGGTGACTCGAGCCAGAGTGATGACGATGATCATGGCACCAGGATCATCACTCTGGCTGGAACCAATGTGGGAGCTAGTTTGCGCGGTGAGATGGAAGAGAAAGTAGGCATTGAGGGCAATTCATCGGAGGAAAATGAAGTGTTGAAAACATATGTAAATAGCAATTTTCAATCTCTCAACAATTCCATCATGTTAGGTGGTAGCTATTGTACTAATGACCCTGGTGTTCATTTGGACATTAATGATGATATTGAACACCACGAGCCGCTACCACGAGGACATGGAGAGAAGAAAGGCACAACAAGCACTATTCAGACTAACAAAGGCGGATCCAGAATTTAAATTCTTTCAGAATATCATGAGTTCAAAACATAATATTATCTATGGTCTACATAAAAGTTCAACAAAGCTGAAATGTGAGGAAGTTGCTAAAAGTTTTATTCCATGTTATGAATAAGTATCTTAGTGTACTTTAGCATTGTTTCTTTTACTTTTTTCATGTTTTCCTGTTTTTTCACTTTATTGAATCTCTTGTAATGAGAAGACTTTTGTTGAATTGGTGTAGTATTGTAATTTTAGATGGTTTGATCATATCTTGCATCGACCTACAAATATACCGGTCTATAAGCTATGGTTACTAAAGGTGTTAAAAAGGGACGAGATAGACCTAAAATCACATGAAAGAAAGTTGTCTCGGAAAACCTTTAGATGGTTTGGTCATGTCTTGCATCGACCTAGAAATATACCGGTTCTGTAAGCTATGGTTACTAAAGGTGTTAAAAAGGGACGAGATAGACCTAAAATCACATGAAAGAAAGTTGTCTCGGAAAACCTTTAGATGGTTTGGTCATGTCTTGCATCGACCTAGAAATATACCGTTCTGTAAGCTATGGTTACTAAAGGTGTTAAAAAGGGACGAGATAGACCTAAAATCACATGAAAGAAAGTTGTCTCGGAAAACCTAAAGTTTCTTGGAATTAATGCAGACTTAGTCCAACAAGTACCACAAATGCAGCTAGCATATTGTATTTGTATTTTTTCAAAATGATAATTATAACTTGCTACTATATAAATCTTTTTTATGTGCAAGAATCTTTTATGTACATTCAATTAAGGTATAGATTTTGATTCTTGAACATTGCAATTGACAAATTTAAAAGATGTTCTATGAAGTTAGTTCTCAAACTTTTTTCTTACAGAACAAAAGTTACATTTTTTTTTCGAAAAAAAAAAGAACTTAGTTCAAAGAAAAGATTGAAATACTGATATCAAGGTATATCTGGTTCATCATTAGCTTCATGAACTTGGAAATTTAACTCTTTTTCCTTTTTCTCTTCAGTTTCTTGAGAAACTTTCTGCATTTCTTTAGCCTTGCCCCATAGTAAAAAGTATAGTCCGAGGATTACAATAACAGATCCAATCACACTGTATCATGTTCATCATTTCGCGAAAGAATGTGTTAGTTGTATGATATTTATGACTAGTAATAAGTTTGAAACATAGTCTTAAAAGGAAAGTTTTGAAATGTGTTGAATCACCTTCCGAGATGGAGTTGTTCGTGTAGAATTGGAACGTCTAACACAGCTGCCATAACTTGTATAAGAGGACTGAATGCTGCAGTAAAGACCGGTCCCCTCTTCTTAACACACCACGACATTCCAACAAAGCATAGTCCTGAGCCTATTAAGCCCTGTCACACATGAAGAATTCATTTCTGTCGTTAACTCAGAATCTTGGACTTATCGATCATGAGTAATGGAGAAGACATCATAATCAGTTACAAGTCATGAAACGACGTAAGACAATCAATCTATCATTCATCATATAGTAACTTTGAAGTGACTTGTTATTTATCTTGTAATTTCACTTCAGAAAAAGGACTACATTTTTTCGACTGGTGCAAATCCTCATTCTACTTATTCATTGTACCGTATTCTTTGATGTTTGTGGACGTTAATGGATAACTTGGACACATTTTAGCATGTCCAATGAACACTTGAAACCAACATTTAAAAGTTTTCAAGAACTAATAGTTGCCAACTCCAACTTGTTTGATACTGAAGCGTAGTAGTTGCTGTTTTCAAGAACTTTTAGAAGGTTTTTGTAATATGCATCAGTCTCACGAAACAAATTGCTCGAATCAAATGTACTTACAGTATAAACGACACTCAACATGTCAATGATCTTCTCCTTTGGAATCCAAATGGAAAGTGTTCTATCAGTGGAAAAAGTTAAGATAGCTGATTGTATGGCACTGAAAAAGGTCATAATAACCGTGCTCGAGTACTGACATGGATATTTCTTCCCAATTTTCGCTTGAATAAGGAACCACGAGGACCACAAAATAGTTCCAGCGAATAAGATCATCGAGCCAAAGATCCATTGTACATTTCTTTTAGAGGAGCTGATAGGTTCCTCCAAAGTTTGAGATAAATCTTTAAAGTGTGAAAAGTGGATTAAAGGTTTGCCTTTGTAAAAAGTCAGTAAAAAGGCACCTCCAAGGCATATTAATGTACCAATAACTTTGGCTCTTCCACTTCTATCTTTTATGTTAGTTGTCTCCAACCTGCATCATAATCATAGATTAAAGAAACGCGCAAATTTGTAACTTTTTAAGCTATATTAGTACTCGTTGAGACTCAACGAGAGAGCATACCCGAAAAGTAATGCCATAAGGAATGTTACCACTGGTACCATGTTGAGAAATGCACATGCAAATGTTGCAGAAGTGTATTGTATGCCAAGAAGGAATAAGTATTGTGTAAGAGATGCCCTGAAAGAAACAAAACAGGTGTAAGCTATGGTGCTAAAATTTTAGCAAAAAATAGACAGAGGACTTATAGCATCTATGTTGGTCGAACTCTTAAAAAATGTGGATATATGGTCCAAAAGCAGTACATTTGTTGAGGATCCGACACAAGAGTTGATTTCTCAGATGATTGTTACGTATCTTAAAAAGTCACTTTCTTTGTTGAAAAAACGGAAATCAAGAAGAAGAGTGACTTTCTGAGATAACCCTCCGACACAAGATGACAGATGATATATATCAATCTTGTTCTACTTACCCAACAATTGCACTCAAGAAAAGATAGAACAAGATTTGAGGGGTGAGTTTAGGCCTTTTATTCCTGAAAATCAAGATTTTCATCAAGAAATAGTGAAGAAGTTCTATAACAAGTAACATAATACATCAAATAAGTGAAAATTAGGAAGCAACATTCTTGATACCTTTCAAAAAAGAAGGCGACTGGGGCTAAAAACACGGTTGAAATGGACTGTCGATAAGTGATGAACACGAAATGGTTCATACCATCCATGATAATCTTCTTGAGAAGTATATTACAAATCGATAAAGCAAAATCTATCGCCAACATGATAATGATAGGATACCATTCCACATAGCTCTTCATCTTATAAGTGAATTTACTCTGTGTTTTTAAGATGAAAATGAGGCAAAGGACAGATATTTAAAGTGTTTTAAGGACTAAAAAGGAGTGTGAAGAGAAGACAGAGGGAATTCTGGCAATCACATCAATTTAGCAACTCTTAACAGATTTTGACATTAGTTTAACATAAGTATACTCTTTCTTTTTACTTGAGAGATTTCACTATTTCCCTTTTTCCCTTACTTTTCATTGATACTTTACAGTTTACAATAGATGTTAACTATATTAGAATCGTCTAAGCGCACGAACATGTTCATCAACACCTATGTTGCTCCGACTCTTCAAAAATGCTATCAGGTTGCATGTCATATCCTCCAAAAGTACGACAATATTTTTGGACAGTCCGAGCAACATAGATCAACATACAATATGTTTGACAGGCTCATCTTATGGAGAAAAGTTATTTTTGGAGATCTTTCATCTTTCTTGGTTTGAAGTTAGTTAAGAAGGCATAATACATAAACAAACTCTCAAACTTGGTCTCAACTGACAAGTAAACACTCCAACTTCGAGAGTGCACATCAACTTGGTTTCAACTGATAACTAAACACTCCAACTCATCCCAGCGTGTCTAGTGAACACCTGACGCTAATGTAACACATAAATTTTGGGGAGGTGTGTGGATGATCATTTTGTAAGTTGGAGTGTTCAACTGACACAATGGAGACGAGTTGAGGTGTCTAGAAAATAATTTAACATGTGAGTCAACACTCGACAAGTGCCTATTTTTAAAATATTTCTTTTGTTTACTACTTCAAATAGTCTATGGCATCTTGCTTGTGGGGTTCAACTAAAGATAATTCTCTTTTGACATAGCACTATATGGCATCTAATGCAATATGCATCTAATTCTATTTTCAAATAACTTGTAGCAAAGAATCTTCAGATTATAACATTGAACATAAAAACTATACTTTAAATACATCAAATATATCCTGAATGGATAAATAGCATCAGCTACTCAGGAATTTTTTTAAGTCAGAAGGCAGACATAGTATAATTCTGTTGATATGAATCGATAAGGGGGACGATACGCGTAAATTAACCAAAATGAACCGCGATAACAAAAATCTCGTGTGAAATGTCATTATAAAAGCCTGTTTGATTCTGATTTTCAGTATGAATACGAATCGTGAAAGTGTGATCTATTGATCCTTTTAGAGCTTGTTAAGTAAGTTGCTCTCAAAACTATTGTTTGAGCTTAGTTCATAAAATCTAGCTCAATAGTCAAGACACACTTGGCACCCAAGCATGTGACCTAATGTCAACGAAGTAGGTGAAAATCTTGGGTGACTTGAATGATAGAGTTATCCAACACCTACGCTGATGGGAGATGGTTGATAGTTAATTCAATAGTCGAGGAACATGTAAGTTGGCTCAAACACCACTTATTGAAAGAAAGGAAAAAAGAAAGTCAAGAGCACTATTGACTCATTAACTATGTTGCTCAACTACAATTACAAAAGCATACTCAGTGTAATTCCACAAACGGGGGCCGGGGATGGTATAGCGTATGCATTACCTTACCAGTTACCGCTACCTCATAAAGATAGAGATGTTGTTTCTAATAGACCCTCAACTCAAGTAAATTAAATCATCTCAAAGTAGTTTGAAAAAGATAATAAACGAAATATAGCACTGTGGAAAGCAGTACATAACATACAAAAGAAAGAACAATAACTTACAATGAACTAGTATGATAACTAAAGCACATAAAACACATGTATGCGATAACATTTTTGAACAGTCCGAGCAACAAAATTAATTGGTGGCCCCTAGGCAAAATGAGAGTGTGAGTTAGAACAATGCAAGTTTAGTTGATTTAATCTATAAGAGAACCCTTTGTTATTAGGTCAAATCTTATTCCATGCCTTGGCTATACTATATGTAAGAATTTCATTATTGAAAGTCATTAATCATTAGGTAAATGAAAGTATGACAAGAATTTTGAAATTCTTGTACAATTTTAAAAGTTTTAAATAGAAACATCCCACTTTCTAAATAACTATATCATCAATGCTTTTTAAAGTAATATCAAAATTCTTCACAATGGAAAGTAGAATAGACTTGCTTTCATACATTTGTCTTAATCCATATTCTTTATTGTTACTTAATCATGCTTTGAGCTGGAAACACAAAATTATGTGCATTTATGCTTTTATGTGTGTGGAGCCTCTTAAAAGTCCATGCATTATCGCCCTAATTAATGGTCAAGAATTAATCAAGATTAAAATAACATCTAGAGGGTATTTTGTGCAAGGGGGCCAGCTAACATCAGCAACAAAGAATGGTCAGTTGAACATCCTTCTCCGAATTATTATACAATGTATATAAAATCAAATGTTTTTTTTCTTAATCACCCTAGTAATTTGTAAAGTCAATATTACTAGTATCTTTGAGGACTTCAACGATGAGGCAGATATAAGACGAGTTTTGTACAGAGGTTAGCTCTAACCAAAAAAGGGTAGCCAGCTAGACATTTTTCGTCAGAAAATCATACTAGGTATATAAGTCAAAATATTACTTTTCTACTAATAAATGGTCAAAAATTTATAAAAGATTACCAATACCTCTAGAGGACATAACCCTTCTATACTTCAATTAAGAAGTGGATTTAGGGTGATTTATTTGGCTAACCTAGCCTCCTCCATCCCTCGAAACCAACAAGGGGTAGTATAGGAATATTCACATGTTATCTATCGACTACGTCTTTCAGCGTAATCTTTTGTGCAGGGGTGAGCTACAACCGAGAAAATATGATAAGTTGAATTCCTTTATCGAAAAATTATTTTGTGTATAAATGTCAAATAGTATCCTATATTTCTAATACATATACGTTAAATCTTGTACACCCTTGATAAAATTTCTAGCTTCGCTACTAATTTTGTGAGTTAAATTGAACTCATTCTCAGTCATCTCTCACCGGCATCATAGGTATTGAATATAATACAACTATGCTCGTTTTTTAATCTTGAATTCGCCTCTGCTTCTGTACCGATAACGGCTTAGAAGATTCTCCACTTTTCCTGCGAGTAGTATGCAGTAAATCATTTAATTGGATGCCTTAAAAGAGAAAAATATTGTTATTCGAATAATCCACTTTAGTAACAGTCTAATTATTATTAATGCATGTACTTTACAAAATGTGTGGCATCATATATACTTAATAACTTTCACATTAAATTCCCCTTTTCTTAATTTAATGGATAATACAGAGCTTAAAAGCATTAATGACTTTAATTAATAAAAATAGTTAAACATCCTATTTGAATATAATTCAAAAAATAATCACACTTTTTTGTCCAATATTATTTATCATATATATAAGTGATCAATTCTACACAAATGATCATTTCTAAGTAAATAAATCTCCATACACGGTGTGGTTTAGATACACGTCATGACTTTGAACCCTTGGAGAAAACAGTTTCATACTTATTTAATATTGAAGAAGCATAGAGGGACGAATCTAAACTCTCTAAAGTTAAAAGGGATTTTTAGTATACGTAAATATGCTCTAAAATTACAAAAAAAAAATAGATTTGAATTCATGATTTTAGCTGTACAATGAGTTTAATATTAAGAACGGAAAAGGGTCAAAATTGCCCCTGAACTACGCGAAATAGACCACTTATACCCTCCATTACATTTTGGGATCAAAAATACCCCTGCCGTTATCCTAGGAGACCACAAATACCCTCAAGAGTTAACACCCCAAATTTTTAGTGACGTGGCAAGCCACATGGGACTAATCCCTCCACCTAAGCATTGCCAACTAAGATTCACTACAAAAGAACTTGACCTTTAGTGGCGACAAAGTCGCCACAAATTCCCAAAATATTGCCACTAAAGGTTATGAGTGATTTTTTAGTGGCGACTAAGGCTCCAACAACCATTCGCTAGTAAAACCTATTTTTTCAACAACAAAATATGATAATTAATTTTTGGTTGCAACCTAATTTCTAAAATAAATAACTTGCAATATCAATAATAAAAACATGCAATATTATTACGAAAAATCATCAAAATTACTTCTCGATTCAAATCTCCTACTATATAATGCATCATTGTACATTTTATACATTTACATATGACATAAAAATAAAACATACAATGTCTTAAAACTCCTACTTAATCGATATCATTTTTGGTTTTTTAAAAACAATGAAGAAAAAAAACACAAAATTAGAATTTAATGTTAAAAACTTTTAGTGACGATTTTTTGGGCTTTTGTGGCGACTGTTGTTGCCGCTAAAGGTCTAGTTCTTTTGTAGTGAATCCTAGTTGGCAACGCTAGGTGGAAGGATTAGTCCCACGTGGCTTGCCACGTCAATAAAAATTTGGGGTGTTAACTCTTGAGGGTATTTGTGGTCTCTTAGGATAACAGCAGGGGCATTTTTTATCCCAAAATGTAACGAAAGGTATAAGTGGTCTATTTCACATAGTTCAAGAGCAATTTTGACCCTTTTCCGTATTAAAAAAGATTGAATCCATTAAATTTAAATTTTGAATTCACCTCTTGCTCGGACTATAAAAGTACAAATTATTGATTTTGACACCTACTTATATGCTAAATATATTTCTTTTCATGCAAATTCGTCTAAATTCCATGCATAATGTAGCAAAAGATACTTTATATAGCTTTATTTAATTAAAGAGATGAACTTCAGTATATGGAAAAATGAATCATCCTTCAATAATTCAAAAATAGATAAAGACAAACACATAACACGTTTGGTATATATTAACAAACAAAATTAGCTCTAATTGGAAATTAAATAGTAAATATACTACCACACACTTCCCTTGCTATATATCAATCATCTAATTATAGTATCATACCAAAATGAGAAAATAATTAAAGCATAAAGATGAGCTACATCTAAAATCTAAAAGCAATCATCTTCGGAGACGGATTTAAGATTTGAACATTATGGAATAGAGATACCACTAAACCTACTAGCTATTTGAGCTACTCTGTGTAGACCAAAGTTATCGAATTCGGCTGAATTCATATGTACATACATCCATACATAACATGCTATTTATGTGATGGTATTTGATTAAGCACAGAGTTTAAGTCATAGATATTAGCTATTATTGAGGTTCTAAATCA